TTTCTTTCTTTCCCTGCAGATTCTTGCATACTTGGCTTTACTGGGGCAGCAGGAGGATAAAAAATTGTCCTTGGAAACTAACTAAAAACTTTATATCTGGAGCATTCATATGGCAGATTGGAGCTGTGGGTTTCACCCCTCTTGGTTTGGGATCCCCTAGAGCTCTGGTCACAGTCATCTGTGCGATGCTTTTGTCACCAGACAACTGTACAAACAGTGCATAATGTCATGTTAAAGGATGTTGTTAAAATGGTACAGTGGTTCTTAAACACAATTAATGAAATTATAGGGCTTGTGAAAGAAGTCAGGAGCTTCTGTCCTTTGGATTGTAGGCATCCTATAGGACTGAAGCCTGCAACTATATAATCTTCCAAACTTGCTTGCTGGTCTACTGATAAAAAGCCAGAATGTCTTCCCATAGGGATCACTGAGTTCCAAAAAAATGGGGGTCCTTCATACTTACTTTTTATAGTAACTTGTGGGTGACAATCTCAAACACTCTGCAAACATTAATCCCAGAGCATTCAGGGCACTAACATACATTTTTCTCAATTCACAACAAAGAAACAAGGAAATGCTCAAATGTTATGCCTAGGAAGCAAAATGTGTCAGTTGTCCTAGTGGATATTCTGCCTTGGGGATACCATGTACCTAAAATACGCATATATTTTTTGTACTTTGTGAATTAATTTAGACTGCATCCATTCTAATGAGGTTTGTAGATAAGACTGAATAGTGAGTTTATGCCTATTTTTTTAATTTCTGAATTCACCCTTTGGCTCAGTGACTGGCTTCTATTTTATGTGTCTGGAGAGCAAAATGTACTGCCTGAATAACTGTGCTGTTTAATGTCCAAGGCACCTATCTGCTTCCATTAGCCATGCTGAAATTTAACAAAAGAGAAGGGGTAAGCTATTGTGATCCAGATTTTTGGTTCAGCTACTTTAGTATAAATTCAGTGATCAAAATTCTAAGGAAATTATCTTTTCTTTGAGATTTTTTAAACTGTTGGCCATTTTAACAGTAAACAGATAAAAGCTGAGATAATTCAGGTTTTATCATATTTCTCTCTTTTGCCAAATTAACTTAATTGAGAAAAGATGAAAAAATTATTAAGAGAAAGTAAGGGCCTGAAACTCTGGGGTTTTTTGAAAATATTTAAAAGGTAGTCTTACAGAGGCAGAGTTGCAGGATTTATAATTACAGAGTGGTTGAAGAGTTATTTGGTCTGTCATGGAAGCTGAAAGTTGATTATTTAGACTTAGAGTTGACAGATGATGAAGTAACAGTAACAAAACCACATCGACTGAAAGTAAAACAGTTAAATTAGTTTGAAAGGTTTTTACTATACTGATGATGTGAGATATTTGATGTCCAAGCTGTTGCCATGTATTCCACAAACTCCAAGTGTTTTCGTCCACTTGTTGTCTGTCACATTTATTCATCTTAAGCTATGTTTAACATTCTGCCCATATTTTCTTTGTTTAACTCAAATGTTGCTGGGTCAAGGTAGTAATTTTGAATTCTGCTCATAATACACTGATTATTTTTTATCACTATTCTGTTCATGTCAGGGAATGATATTTAAATATTGAAGCACAAAAATGTGTGGGAAGTAAGCCTTTTAAAGTCATCACAGACAGAACTGTTCAAACAAATAACTTTTGCCAGAAATAAGTGACCCCAAACCGTACAGACATTTGGCAAATACTTTTTACCCTTCTAGTGTATTTATTTTCTTGTGAAACTTCTTAACCTTTTTATCAGTCTACCCAGTTCATACCCCACATTCTTTGAATATTCTTATAGAAATCCATATGCCTTAGGATTTAGTCAGTGATTTCTCCAAAATGGCTCCTGTAGCTATTATTACGACTGGTCTCTGAAGTGGAGTAAGTGAGGTTCCTTTTAATAAATCCCTTGGGGTGAATTAGAGTGGAATGATACTGAATGACCAGTGTTTATGTGAGGCAGATTTATTTTTAAACTATTTAATTGCAGCAGAAAGGAGGTATGTGGCTGTTTTAAAAGTATAAAAATACCACGAAAAAATACATAAGGAAAAGAAAGAAAGAGAGGGAATTGATAAGAGCAGATAGTGGCAAAGAAAGATATCACCATCCATGAATCCAGCAATGAGACTCAAATGTTGTGCTTTGTACGTCCGTGGTTGGAGTAATGGTCACAGTCTTGATCTGTTGGGGGTGGGGGCCTGGAAAACAAAAAGTTCTTCAGGCTACATACATTCAAGTTAGCCTGGAAATGCCTAAATTGCTCCCCAGGAAGGGAATTCTTCATGTCTGATGCAACACTGAGGAGCACAGGCAGTTTTCCCGTGAGAGTTCCCAAAGATCAGAGGATGCTTTGGGGTCCTTGGTGGTCCATCACCCCCCCAGGGATACAACCACTGTTTGACCCTGCTTTTGTGCTTGCTCTGTATGTTCTGTGGTCACCAGGGACCTGAACAGAAAAATTTCTGTCTCCAGAAAGGTGATGCCCTACTTTCATACAGCCCCCCCTTTCCCGGCAAGTCCTGTTAGAATTTGCCCGCTTGACTGGTCATCAGTGTTTGAGGCACAGCAGTGCATTAACTCCTTACTGCCCAGGCCTCTACAGGTACTTATCTTCCCTCACATCTTTTTGAACTTTTGGTAAGTGAGAAACTGTCATCTGAGAGTCCCTGGGGCCATTGACCCATGTATGAGTTTTGGGTCTGTAGAGTGAAGAAGAGTGCTCACCTCCCAAGAGGTAAAAGCCTCACCAGAAGTCTGTTCTCCTGGACAGATTTTGTTTCATACAGGAGTGAAAGGAATGGAGAAGCTCACTCATATCAGTAATCCTCCAGGCCAGCAGACCTACTGCAGATGACAGTAAGCTCAGTGATGAAGCAGTAATAGTGATGCAACCACAGCAGTCTTAGTGATGCAATCACAGCATTGATCTAAAAGAGGACCAGAGCAGGGGGAGAGGTACTGTCCTTTATTTATCAGCCCATCTTTATCAACTGGAAGATGGACACCTCTTTGGATTGCGTCCGCTGTCATTTCTTACCACACCTGATGAAATAGACTCTGAAACTAAAAGGAATGGTCTGCGGGGTGGGGCTTAGCATCAAAAGAGTGCAGTGAGACAGCTAAATCTTCACAAAGTGAACTTGATTCATTTTCAGAGTCATCTGTAGATCATATTTAATTACTAATTGTGTTGTGTTGTAATAAACTAATGGACATGTTTCAGTATATTTGAGAAACTAGTTCTTTTTTTAGTAACATGTGGATTTTAATAGAAAACCTATTATTAAACTAATGATGAGTACTAGGGAGAAGATTTCAACTGTAGTGCTTTTTACAGTTTAAATGGTTTAGCACTGTGATTTACTGAGGTTAGTTGCAAAATACATTTATGATTTTTATCACAATATTTATTTGAAGTTCTATGTGTTGTCCTAATTTCACTAGATAAGTAGTCTGCCATAAGCTGCTTGCACCCTTTAAAGGTGACATAATTTATTAAATGCTTTTCAAATACAAGGCTTTTTAGATTATGTAGTGCTTAAAATATTGCATTTACAAGCTCAAACATATGGTATTAATAAGGAATGATGGTTCTAACAATTTCCTTTTTTAAATAATGAAACTTTTTTGATTAAGGGCTGGAGATGCCAAGGCAGCCATTCTGTAATCTAACAAACGTGCACAGATGTACTTGAACACATGAGTGAACTCACATGAGTAGAATCTGAATCATCCTTGGAACTATTCCACAAAAGCCTGATCCAAAGTCTATTTAAATGTATAGAAAGATTCCTACAGATTTTGTGCGTTGTTGCTGAGGTCTAAAAGGGATGACTATGGATGTTTCTTTGCAGAAGGCAGGTTATCAACCTCTTTTAAGAACTAGTGAAATCCCGTCAGGCCAAAACTTCCTTTGGCTTTATTGAGATCAGGATTTTCCCTGTGTGTGTTTAGACAATCAGCTTTACCTGCTCTTTAATGACCAAGAAGTGATGCTGATAAATTTGGAAATTTCATCATGAATGATTGATCTGCAGCTGCATAAAGTATCTCTGACAGTGCACTTCAGTGATACTCTTGCACAATGTTGAGATATTTTAGGGAATGTACACTCATTCTTCATTCAGACATCTATTTTATCTTCAGTTCTTGCTGGGATTCACAGACCAAGTGCTCCTTTCCTTTTCACATGCAAGCTAATTAATGTCAGTGTTGGTGCCATTAAAAAATTGCATGATAGCTTGCTAAACAAGTATAAATCTTGGTTCAAATCTATTCTTTGCCCTGAACTTGCATCTCCCATGTCCTAGGAAGCAGCCTGGACTCCTGTGAATGGGGATAATCTATGATTAAAGCTGTCCTAATTGCTATCAGATGTTTAAGTATTCCCTTAAATGCTTTTGGGAGTGTAGATCTTCCTTCTTCGTGGCTGAGTACTCCAGAAGCACAAAACTTGAGATTTATTTAGACATTGGGTAATTTGTTCTCCATTTACTTTCTTTCTCCCCACTCCAAAGTAATTATTAACTATTCCAGAGAGGGCTCAGAAAGAGAGGATTTTGGGTCTTTTCTCTCTTTGGCTAAGCAGTTTGAGTACTCCTCCAGAATACAAGGTTTAGCACTCTTGACAGAGGAGAGCTGCAGAATAAGCAGCTACTATCACTGCCAGATTGAACAAATTCAGGTACCATCAGTGAACGGCTGACATCAAGCTATCACTGGGGCTAATAAAAAATGAGAAGAAATCCTGTTTTCCTTCATAATGAAAACAAGCATATAAATTGAAAAGGAGGAACTTCAAGCTAATATTGTTTCATTTCCTAACTATTCTGCTCCTACTTAATAGTTTACTCTTTTGGAGTGTTTGTTTGTTTGTTTGTTTGGGAGAAAGGGGGAGGAACAAGGCCATAAGGGCTTTCTTTTCTGTAAATTTTGTCATCTGACTTCTGCTTTAAAAATACAAACTTTTTTTTTCCTTTCCTGCAGGTGCTGTTGCCACCATATGATGATCCTGTGAATGGAGCTGCTAAAGATCCACCACCACCTTATGTGTCAGCATAAGTGAGAGAGTGCTGTGTCCCTAGGGAGTATAGCTTTACTTTTCAGACATTTGAGCAATAGTTTGATAATTTCACTTCCAGGATATAACCTCTGTGGGTTATACATTGCTGTTTTGCTGACATATTGAAACCTAAATTTGATTATTGAAACCTAAATAATGATCATTATTCTGTAGATAGTTTTAATAACTTGCTGCAACTACAGTAGTGTGAACGGGTTTCAGAACAATTCTGGGTAGCGCTAAGGTTACAGTAGTCACTGAATAGCTTTTTCCACCCTGTCTGACATGCAGTGCTAGAGAACATAGAACTTTGCATTCTCAGTCAGATTCAGAGTGTAACTTTATTTTTTTTATTTGAAAAACTTCCAAAGCATTACGAATTTATTTCTCAGATGCCCACTTTCACCTTCAGAATACAGACCAAGTCCAAAAAAGCGACATTCCAGTTCATTCCTTTTACAAGAATTTATGAAGTTATGAAGGATGATGATTGCAAGAAGGATGAGTCTTAATCACTAATCTCATCAACCTGGCTAATGGGAAACAAATTTAATTGGGAAGGATAAGTATGGGAAATGGGAGTAGAGACAGTGCTCTGTGATGTGTAACAAGCCAGAACCTGTGGTCTACATGGGCTCACTTTGTACCAGCCTGTAACCATTCTAATTTTCAAAAAAAAAAAAAGTTCTTAGCAAATTCTAATAACTTTCTTTTCCTGCCTACACACCTTTTTCCTCCCCACTAACTTCACAAAGAGCACTTTGAGGTCTCAAAATCCCTACTTTTAAAATCACATGGTTAGTTGTCAAAGCTGTGTCCTTCTCACTTAATATGCAAATGTTTTCCCATTGGAATGTGCCTGTAAATATTGCAATGTTCTGCTGAGTGTAAATTAAATTATGCAGATTCTAAGATAAATGTTCCTAACATGTGGGGACTTATGCATGTAACTTCCTGGAGCATTAGCAAATATGTTTTACATGTTTATCATATATATCAGTGTGCGGATTTTAGATTTCTTTTATGACTGAAGTGGTTTGTGCTGAGAATCTTTGTCATGGGACTCATCCATCCACGAGTGCTTTTGTGAGGTATTTATTTCTTCTCCAGAGAAGTGCCTCCTGCACATGTAGCTTTTAGTTGCTGATGAAGGTTCTACTTTTAACTGAAAAGGAAAAGGGAGTATAATGTGTGTCTCTACCTCTCATTGTCTCCCACTGTGTTGTCTTCTCTGCATTTGGGGTGATTGAACAGGCTGAAGTTAAAATGATGCCATTGCACAGCGCCCCAGCTAAAGGGCAGTGCAGAGCTGAGCCACAGTTTGGAGGAGCACCAGAAGATATCAAGGTGCCATTTCTCCTGTGGCTGGGCTGGCATGTGAGTCTACAGCCTTCCTAAGGAGGACACCCATTCTCACCCTCAGTGCATTGACTCCATTCTGCAGACTAAAGAAATACAGAACTTTTCCTGCCTTTTTCTGGAAAAGAATTTTCCAGTGGAACACAGGACCAACAACTTCTTTTCACAGAGATTGCAACTGTGACCTGTTCTTGCACAACCAGGGAAGGAAAGGACAGACTCTTTCTGCCTGTCTCTTCCACACCCCTGGGAAAAGGCAGGTCCCCATCTCCTTGGAATTTTAGTTCAGGGTTCATCTACTCTGAGATCAAACTAAGTAATGCATTTGAATGAACCAGTCCTCCATTTGAATGAAGTGCATCCATTGATCTTTATCACAGTCCTATTTTTTCCTTCTGAATAATTCCATGTACTCTTATTACAGATATCTTTGGGAATTAATCTGAATTGGGGGTTGGGCTGGCTGGCTGGGCTTCTGAGCTTCATTTTCTTTCATTCTTGATAGATTTTTGAAGGATTTCAAACAGTCATCTGTTCGAAAAGAGCTGGTTGTAAATATATCGCATCTGTGTGTACAAACTTCTCTACAATAAAAGGGTGTTTCCTCAAGACTATGGAAATAATTTTTGGTGGTCTTCCAAACACAAACATACACAAAATCCTGTCCAATCCATCTGTCATGGCAGGATTTTCTCTGTAGAGGACCTAAGCAACAGTTTTTCAGTCCACTCACCAGTCCATTCACCAGTTTCCCTCCATACTGTATACATGGAGAAAAGGACAGTAAGTTCTATAATTTATTGCACAATAAGACCAAGAGATAATTCAAGGTTTTAGTTCATTGTCCAGAACTTCAGGCAGTTTTCTAGATTTGATGAAGTGTGTGATACAGAACAGGGCTAAACTGAGCTACACTGAAAGCTGAGACCTCTTTTTCTCCACATCGTAATAGGGATAATGTTGTGCTAATTCACATGAATTTACTTTAGGCTTAAGCTTGTCTTAATAAAGCCTCAAGACACCTTCACACACCCCATACGTGCATAAGTGTGAGTACAATGTGTCCTGCCAGAACTCCTCTTGGATTTGGTCCAATATGAGTTAAAGAAGGCAGGAAGGTTATAGTATCAAAACCATGGCATTCTTACACACATGGTAAATACCTGGGTTGGAGGTAACAGATAATGTAATATAAGTTCAGTTCTGGTGACGTATCAGAGGATCCCCCTGAGAGATTAGTTCCCCCACTCCCAAAAAAAACCAGATTCTGTGGGTTACATGGAGACACAAACTCCAGCTGAAGGGTTTTTATCCTCAGATGTTGAACTCATTCTCGATTTCCATGTCTAATCCTGAGGAACTCACACCACAGCTTTTCTATAATTCATTTTTAATAGTCATCTGTGACACAGAAACCCATTAAAAACTTGGCTTCTTAAGTTTCTGTGCTTTGGGAACTGCTTGCTCCTAACTGTGCTTTTTCCAATATTCCTTGCATTTTTTCCTTTCTCCCAGATATTAGGAGCATGTGCTCCTACTGAAGTTCTCTCCTGTTTTCAAATCTGAAACTCTAATATAGCAGTTTTATTAATAATTTTTAGTAATTTAGGATTGGAAAGAAAATATAACGAAATATAAGAAAATAAATGATGATATGGAACATCATAAATATGGGGCCAAAACCAGTAAGCAGGAATCTAAACTTTGATAGTATCAGAATTATAAGTAGGTCTTTTGCAGAAACCTCTTTAAAAAAAAAAATCTGTTACAAGGCATTGCAGGCTTCACAAATCCTATACATGCTAAGGCACAAAGGCCATTTCACTCATCTGTGCCTGTTGGTTTTTTTCCTGATTGAACAATGCGGTTTCCCTTCAATGTACACTCATCTATACATCGTATGGAGAAAGCAAAGAGGAATTTGTAGTGGTGACCCAACAGTGTGGCACTCGTGCTTTTAAGTACACTAAATTTTCTAAAACAATTATTAACAACCATTATTTTAGGTGTTAGACTGTCTGTACTTTGGGAAAACAACTGGTTGGTAAAAACAATCCAGACTTGATATGTTAGCAAAGGGCATGTCAGATCAATTTACAGCCAGAGAAGAGCTTGGCAAGGAAGCAGAGGAAATGATAGCTGGTCAACAAATTCCAAACAAATTCCAAATTCTGTGCTTTCATAATAGGGCATTCCTCACCACTGGCCTGTTGGCCAAAGTATAGCGGCTAGGGACATCATGGACAACTCTGACAAATTTTTGCTAATATTAACAAGTCTGCACACTGATGCTTGGAATGTGCAAGATGGAAGATTTGGCTACTGCTAAAGGCAGAATGGAAAGTGGAGCAGCAACAGGAACAGAACATAGGAGGGCAACATTCGTGTACATCCTTTAAGCAGCAGAGATGCCATTGCATTGACGGGTTCACTGCTACAATATTTGGTTTATGTGCTCTTTCATTTTCCTCTGCTATGGTCTGAAAGAAGTATAATTGCACCTGTAATCTGTTACATTAGCTGTTAGACCAGCTCTGTTTCACAATTTTATGAATTGTGATGGATGGATTATTTTATGGATGATGCCTTGTTCTTACTTGTTGTAAGGCAAAGTCATCTACAGATTTATATTTCTAAACCAAAAGGAGTATTGGTTAAATCCCTTCCAAACTATCTAGTGAGACAGAAGACTCCAAGCTGCTCCTCTGGAGCTAAGTTATATCTTTAGAGACTGCTCCTCATGGATGTTCTCACCATAAAAGCTGCTCTCTTCAGATGCTGCTTCTCTGGAGCCAGGTTATATCCTTCCCATTTATCTGTCTCTATTAGCTGCAGAAACTTCAGTCAGATACCACAAAAAAAGCATATCTTGCAAAAATTCAGTACCTATCACTACAGAGATGTTCGAGCAGTATCTCAGTTCCCAGCTCTGAGAATCCAAAACAGCAGCCATAGCTGTTTAAAGGGAGGCTTGGCTCTGATAAATCAGGATTAGCGTTCTTTCAGAGAAAGACTCTGGTATTTGTAGTTGATGTCTCCACACCCATGGATTTGACCCAGAATGGTTCTGCAATGTGGCCAGTTTTTCAGCTGAATAGTTCAGCAGGGTGTGGAAGACAGACCTGTGACCTTCTGCCTGCAGCCTGCATCTACCTACAGCAGGAGATACTCCCCTCTACCATGGGGAGTGAAAGTGTTATTATCACCCAGCCAGTAAATATGAAGTTATTTCAAGGCAAAAAGGCAGTTCTACAGCTATACCCTAGACAACCAACTTCAACAGTAGTTTATTTTAATAAAGCACTTCTGTGAAATTCTATGCAGTAAATTACCTTTTTTCTTTCTTTCAGATTATTCAAACCTTCAGACAGGAGAGTTTTTGGAAAGTAATGAAATGTTTGCACTTTGTAGCCAGAGCTGGACTTAACACAGGGTCACTCAGCTGAATAAACAGCAAGGAGATGAATCAGGGCTGCAGCAGGGCTGGCTACTTGGCTTACATTAGAAGCTTGCTAGCCAGCAGGGACAGAGAAGCTGTGAAGCTACTCAGAGAGAGGGAGCTGCAGCACAGCAGATTCTCTGCAGGCATTTCAGAGTACTTCTGTTTGCTGTTTGAGGTCAACATGACCAGCAATAGCAGAGATGAGCCACACACAGCTTTTTAGCCCAGAACCTGGGCTCTGTTACAATATCTAAGTGCATCCTGCTAATAATTTTAACAGGCTTCTTTTTTAATATAAATTTTGCCCAGGTATCTAAATATTTCTGGTTTTTGAAGGGGTTCATTTTTTTTTTTAGATTCCTTCTTTTCCATGTAATATTGAAACTATTTCCTTCTCCAAAGCTCCCCATTGAGGTCCTTTCCTGAGAGCAGGGGCAAGCATGCAATTAGAGACAGAGATCCAACATGGGTAGACTTTTAGCATCAAATCTTCTGAGCACATTTAGTGCCAGGATTGGTAAGTTGTTCTTCAAAATACAGATACCATTCTGATAAGATGAGATATGTTCTACTTTATGGATGGCAGATCTTTCAGCCTTCTCTCTGTGCCAGAGGCAAGCACAAATAGGTACTCTGTCTCTTATGGACTGGACAGACAGTTACCTTTACAGTTATATTTGTGTATGACCAGGACACCAGTTTAAGACCAATAGGTAAACAATAAATTACTGAGACACTCTGGGAGATGGATACTATTTATATGAATGTGGTCCTTCTTGGCAGTATCAAATGCACTCACCTGGGGCAGCAAGGGCAGTGAAAGTAAAGGAAGAAAGGCAAAAGCTGGCAATTAGTTACAAATACTTATATTTTGTGAGTTTATAAAGTCTTGTCCCCATCAAATCATTAGAAAAATTGAATGAGTTTCATGTCCTTCGTTGCCTTAGAAACAAGGATGAAATTAACTATATAAGTTGCACAGTCCAGCTTAAATTTCCTGCTATTGTGAGATGCTGCTGCTTTGCTTCTCATAAGGAAAAAGCAACTATAGAAATTCAAAATGCTTTTGAAGAACCAGACTATTTGATACAGTAGTTTTGGGGGTTTATTTCTTAAAAAATACATTTGCTTATTTTTAGTGCTAATTTTTTCTTTTTAAATACAAATATTTAGTCAAGGTGTCTGTGGCCACATGTTCATCTCAGGATCTTACTGGTTTCTGTTTCAAATGTAGATTTTCTATGTGGTTTTTTATCCTGTGAATTGTCAGGGCAAAAAAAGCCCAGAGCACAACATAATACATCACTATCTTTGGCTGCTTTTTCCTCTCTTTGCAATTCAGTTTTTCAACCTGGTTAAAAAGTTCTGACGCAGTAGTTTGAACAAATAAAGTTCAAATAAGGGTAACATACCATTACCCTGAACAGACACTGTAAACACTCCAGGGGACTAGAAAAGTAGACCCCCTGTGAAAAAGGGAAGCTCAGGAAAACTCCTTTGTTAACTGTTGCACTCCTGTTAGCACCAAGCAACAGAACACATACAGTTCCAGGATTGCCACTGTGCAGCTGTAGAGCAGCAGCATTTAGATCTGAGCTGCCTTATCTGTAGCCCTTTACAAGAGGCTGAACCGGCAGCACAGTCCCAGTTGAGCCAGGACCAGTTCATTTTACATGAGCAGCCAGAAGATGAGCTACAAAAAGAGGTGTCTGAGAAAAGGAGGGAGGTAAATGTTTGAGGAAATACAGCTTTGTCTCAGGTGTTCTGAGACCAGATAGGGTAACAAGCTGTGAAAGTTTAAAGATGATCCCTGATTGTGTTTGGGATGTCTACATACATCTAACGTGGTATCTTTTCTGGCCATGAGCTAGGTCCCTACTTAGCTCACATTCCTTCTGCTAGTTCCTTTTTCAGTTATAAATTTCCTCTGTGGCAATGCTTTTCTGAAATACAGACAAATTAGATCTACTGCATTTCCTTTGCCTAAACAAAAAAAACCCCAAACAAACAGAGGCTAGATGAGCATAACTTAATGCTGAGAAACTAATCCTACATTTATCACCTGTTCATGTCTTGCAACATCTTTCTTTTTTTTTTTTTTTTTTTTTTTGTTTCAATGTTTGTTTTGAAGTCTTTATTACTACTTGGATCAGAATAGAAGCTGAGA